ATTGACGGCAGAAAAGGGTGGATTTGGAAGGTGGTCTGGGCCGTTGCAAACGGCCCTTCCACCTACTTACACCCAACGGAGGAATCGTGGGCTACGCCCACCAACTTCCTCCTTACACAGATATACGCAGTTCAATACCAAGATTATTGAGCTTCGTACCGGCCCACAGGCCCCTGCTGACGTGTATACCAACACTATGGACTTCAAACGTAGATGCTTGCTCAAAACCGAACGCATTGCCATATCTTTGGATTTCAGGCCACGGACTTGGGAAGTTTCGGTGTGGTTAGCAATTTCACAGCGACGCACGATCTCAATTGTCTTCGCTCATCAAGAATAACTAAAGGCTTATATCGAAGATGTAATGATGGGCTAAAACGAAACCCATATGAGTGAATGAAAGACAACAAGCTGTATTTATGGACGCTAGACTTGAAGTCGTGAATCGCGAAGTCTATCGTGCCTCCATTACGACGTATCGTTTATAAAAAGTCTTTCCGAGTCAGAGATAGCTTATTGATACTTACAAACCATTTTTCAATAGACTTTTGGTGAAAACATCCGTCTTACTTGGTATTAAACAGCCGCTCCCAAGTGGACGAGGCCTGGACACATCTTTGTAATCTACTGCCATGGCAAACCAACATCGAGAATGTTTCGTTCCATCCAATAGGTCGCTTAAAGCAACAGGTGAGCTTGTAGCATCTACGATGCCGGCCACGACTCACTTGCAATGATCGCAGTGGTCTACAACGCTTACTATACTAACATGAAGTTACACGTACAACATCATCGCTATCGGACGTCCTCATCATTTACAAAAACTCATTATGATGCAATCACTGGTGTTTACAGAACTTTCATCTATCCCAAACCAATAGAAGCCACCTAGTGCACTACATCCAAGGCTGCCTAACACTACATTGAAATAGAGAGAGAAGACTAGCGCAACCGCTATCCGTTAGCGTGATATCCTTTATAAATATCCTTGCTATCCTTCTCGTTTGTTTTGTTTATGCTTTTATTGGAGGAGAAATTCCCCTAAGAGCATGAACAACACCGAGGCTAAGAATTCTGTCGTGGAGTTGCGGTATGGCTTGTACTCTTCAGAGAGTAATACTTATAAGGGAAAACAGTGCTTTTCGTATTGTCAAGCAAGAGCGGCGTGCATGGTCAATGATTTGAATTTGATTTTGTCTTCCAGACGAACGTTATTTCCAGAGCGCAACGTTCCTTCTCTGTGAACCATGTCATTGTACGTACATGCATCTTTTGAATAGGGCCATGGCTGGAGAATTTTTATGAGAAATAACAACTTTTAGCATTTGTCTTTCCCTCGCATCGAAGTGAGCGCTTTTGATGTATTATCTTGAAGAGAATTCCTCTGCCTGTCTCTCAGCTTCAATGACAGTCATTCAATGGATAGTTTATCATCTCCGAACTGGACAGACGGACTTCAGACAACTGCGATTCAATTCGCCAGCCGATGTCTCCTCTTATTATGTAATAGTATGAGTTTTGCACAGACCAGTGCTTGTGGAGAGCGAGAGGCTGGTTGTGTGGATCGACTCGGTTATCGGCAGGCAGGTGAAACGCAGTTGGGCCCCATCACAAGTGTTCCAGACATCGTTCAAGCCCCTGGCTTAGATTGAAGGGCCCCCTAAAGAGGCAAACCTACCAAGCCCGAGAACTTGTCGCCCAGCCCAAAAGCTCGCGCCTACGTTATATCTCAATCTTCGCGTTTACAAAATTGTCAGTGCAGAGTTGGAACAACTTGGAATTGACTTTCCTGTCCTGAAATCTCGTTCTATAGTCGTTCCACAAGCACGAACCGTCTTGATAGACTTGCAGAAACTCCCTGCAGCATCAAGCTGGCGCTCGTTTCACAAAGCCCGTCCTACGCCAAGCACTTAAAAGACATGAAACACGTCAACGCAACACTACAGATGTATCAAAGGGTTTGTACGGCAGACTGCAAGAGGCACTCCGCCAAAACACTTTTTCATGCGTCAAAGCAGAAATCGAATTTTACAGTCACCCCACCACCGATTATTGAACTTTATACTAGTAAGATAAACTATAGATATAGTTTATATAGAATTAAGGCTTAAGATGTATTGGACCCCGTATAGCGGTATATAAAATCGTATATTACTATAAACTATTATAAAATTTCTACTTTCTTATTAACAATATCTTTATTATAAAGTTAATTATTATCTTTTACCCTCTTATAACTAAAAGTCACTTTTTACTTAAGTTATTAAACTAGTGGCTAGCTTATAGATATTATAGTATAGATCTATAATAACTTCTAGTTCTTTTCCAAGATATAACCGAACTAATCGACTTTATAATGCCCCCTTATAAAGTAATCCTGAAATAAATAATCGAGAATAATCCCTCTACAAGCTCTGCTCTTTTTATATAATAAGAGCATTCAAATATATAAACTTTGACGTTAATAGAATCTCTTCTTACGGGTTTCTAAGAGCGAGAACGAAGTGTTGAATAAATTAAAAATGAGTAAAAACAATAGGTTACTTTTATTATAAATAAAATAAAAAGAGTAGAAAGTGAAGTAATATAATAAAACGGTATAGTGTAACAAAATATAATTATATATAAGTAAATAAGAGGGCATAGGCGGGTTACTTACCTGTCTTAAAGAATATTAGATTAGGTTGAAAAAGAGAAAATTAATCAACAGTGGAAATTGGTAAGGAGGTATAGACCCCGGTGGCCCCACTTCTACTACCTAATTAATTACCTTTATATAATCTACGGCGCCTCCGGTTGCAAGTAATTGCTTGTTATATTATACGGGATTAGTAATCATATTCATTTATACGTAGGGCACGTATGGCACTTTAGCGTACTTAATTGTACGGCTACCGTAAGTCTACTGAGAAAAAGTGTTTTGGCGGAGTGCCTCTTGCAGTCTGCCGTAGGTTTGCTTGGCTGAGCACAGATGACAGCAACAGGGGTCATCGCAAGTCTACTTGACCTTCTCTGGTAGGAAATCAGGACCCAGGAGTGCAAGGAATTCGTTCAGAGTCCCATTGGCCATCATCCCTTCCATGATGAGATGGCCATCCCTCGCCCGTGAATCGAACTCTCAAACAGCCATTGTAGCCGAGGAAAATAAGCCGGTATATCCTGTATTACGGCAGAAAGAACCCCTTATGCGGATCTCACGGTGGACAAAACCAAGACGGTCCCCAGGTTGAATTTCCCTCCCCATAGCTTGAACCATTGTAACATTGCTATTATTCCCTTCTTCTGCGTTTTCCAGCACGTCAACCTTCCCGCCGTACCAACTTCTCCAACCTCAGAATGCCCCCCAAAAGCAACCATTACTCCACCGTATCGCACTCGGATACCTATGATGATTCCACCACTGAAGTCGACGAATCACTCATGGGCGATGAGAAGCAATGGCACTCAATAGACCTGAACGCGGAAGGGAACAAGGCAGGAAGCACTTGGAAAGAAGTCAAGATTATCTTGAGGAGGTATCGCTGGCTTATCGACACACTTCTCCTCCTTACGAATATTGGTCTCTCGCTAGGACTGTCATTGCTGTTGTACTACCAATTCGAAGACGCCAAGTTCCCGTCGCGAATGACACAAATTGGCGGCGATTACACAGGCGCGGGCCCGCAATGTGAGTCGTCCCCCCAGATTTTGCCATGCTATAGTTCACTGTCCTAATTGTTGTCGACCTGCAGTCCCGATTGAAATCAAGAAATTTGATGCCGACCACGCCGTGGTGCCTCCCAACGCAACAAAATTTCTTTCCGAAGCTACACTCAACCAATGGCGGTCGCTTTTGCCCGGTAAGGCAGGATCCTAGCTGAGACCTTAACTACAAGATTTGTATTTCACTGACACCGTTGTAGCTGGTGCCGGTTGGAAATCCGAGGACGACGGCCCTTTTTTCACCACTACCATGACCCATCAATTGCATTGCATCGTATGTCTCAGATGGCCCAATTTCTCGGAGATTCAATCACTCACTTCTTGTAGTACATGATGGGACGCATCTACTCCCGGATAGTCACCGACCCGACTGACATGCCTACAGCCGATTCCGATATCCATTTCTATCATTGCATTGATTATCTGAGACAAGCAGCCATGTGCGCAGCAGATCTAGCACTTGAACCACATTTGATTACGGACGCGGACGACAACGGGCCTGGAGATGGTAGTTGGAACGGCATGCATGGTAGGCAACTCCCCTCCCGACAAACTGTAGATGATTCTTAGCCAAGGTATGTCAATCTCAAAGAGTGAAAACTAACACGGCCTTAATTGCAGTCTGCAAGAATCACAATCAAGTGATCAAATACGTGGATCGTAAGTTCAAGCAAAGAACAACTCCGAAATGACAACATTTTGACACCGAGTAACAGGACAAATCAAGGAAGGCGTTCGTGTGGTTCTGCCGATAGATGACTGAGCACTGCATACTTCAATGAATTTTGATTTCTAGCGTCCACATTCCATCGAGAACAAAATACAACAGTAATACTCTTCGGGACCCTCGACGAATTTCCCATAAGCAGCACCGTCGTCCCACACAGTCACTCCCTTTGTAAAAGAGATCGTACGATGGGACAAATCCACCCATGGAATGGACTTCGGACAACCCAAACAATGTTGGTTCGCGCCGAGACCTACGCCGCAAGCCTCGTCTGCGCAAGACATAATAGGACTGCACCGCACCCAACAGCTGACCTGAGTCTAGGTAGTGCAACGGATTGGCGTCAGTTGATCACGCGTAGGACCAACAAACAAGTTTGAGATCTGTGATTGGAAATTGTCTTTCATGGATGCCTGTCAGTTCCCCATAGCGTCAGCGCCTGTGGGCGGAACTATGCGCACGCCTGCTGTCTACTTTGCTTGCCAGCTCAGTCTGCGACCCAACCCTCCCACAGCCTGATTCACCAGGGACCAAAACCCTCTGAAAGCCAGGCGGCTGGACAACACATTTGATTCTCCTCTGTCCCTCGCCCTTCTCATTCTCCAATCTGCGCACCATCCATCTCGTCCGAGAGTGGAACTAGGCGAGCTAGAGAGCGTCGCGGTCTTTGAAGGGCTCACAATCATCATGCCTCTCCTCGGCCTTGTTTCATATTGCCTTCTCCTCACCGCCCACATAACATGCTCCGACAGTCGTTCCCGAAGACCACCTAGTCCAGGCCCCTCAGGTGACTGCCGAGACAACCCCGTGTATCCGTTGAAAACCCAACTTGATCTACAATGGGAATCGAACTTCAGGGTAATCGACTTACCTATTTGGCATGAGGCGACATATGCGACAAGTGAAGCAACCTATGCTCCAATCATCCGTAAGTTCAATCCTATTGCAAGGCAATCTTTGAACGAGAGCTTGGCAATGTAGGAAACACGCGTGCGCTGGCATGCTCTGGACGGTCAGCTTCAATGGCTTCCCGTCGCATCATGATTCGACTTTAAGCCCAGTGAACTTTATCCAGATGTTCAACCAGTGCCTTTGTGGGAGACATCACTTGCCATTACTCCGACATTATTGACTCCGTGGCATCCACCTCGGCGACAACGTCCACGTCCCCTACGTCGACGGCTTCGACTTTGACAATAGCTTCAACACCGGTTGAAGCATCCCCAACTGCGTTGCCTAGATCCGGGAGTATGAACAGCGGCGCCTCTGCCGGCGCAGTTGCTGGCATTGCAATGAGCGCCGGCATGGGAACGCTTGCTTTGATAGGCCTAGTGGGTTCCGCTTGGGCCATCTGGAGGCACCTGCGAAAGAAGAAACAGTGTCTTGGGAGCGGTGGTGCCAGGGCAAGCGACGTGGGTTATTTTCCTGCTGTTCAGGATATCGGACCCTCTCCTCCAGTTAAATAATTGGAAGTACGAGTTTCCTATTGAGGCTCAGCAACATCGGTATGAAGCTGATGAGACGGAGAGTGCGAGGGATGAGATGGCCAGCGAAACAATCTCAAGTGAAAATGAGAACAAGAGCCTGAGGGTGAAGGGTGACGGAACGTCGAGGTAGCCGGGAGCAACCTTCGTATTGGTCGGAGATGAATAGCAGTTACGTTAAAGCTTTTGACAGGAGGGCTCAATATCAAAAAGATGATGTGTACTCAGTAGCAACTGAATACAACAAGACTAGCATTGACGGCAGGCTCGGGAAAGCCGTCAGTCTCGCATTTAGCCAATCACCCTTTTCGAGAAAATTGGAAGTCATTATGTAACACCTTACTTGAAGCTTTAAATCCAACTCAGGGAGCCGTCCCTAATTTTCATATAGCAAGAAATTTGTAGGTCTAGCTCTTCATTGCAATATTCAACACTCATGCCGTTCTCTTGGTACTTGTCTGGTTCGCATCAAAAGTCTCTCTGACAACCATTTAGATTAATCACGGAGACAACGGATCAATGATGGTGAAAGAAGTGCAGGCTATCAGATCTTGTTGTCCAACAGAAGCTAGACCTAGCAATGTACATGAACTCATGAATGATCATTACGCATAACGCGTCTATCCCAGGGCAATTCGTACATATTAAACTGGCAGCCAAGTTGGGCAATTTACTGTAGCCATGCTTTCACCAAGTTCTTTAGCCCACCCGCCATCCAGTCTTCATCAATTTTCGTCATGGCATCGAAACCATGCTCACCAGGCTGAACTGTCAAATTGAACTCCAACTCAGGATCAACCTCCCTAACCAACTCTTTCAACGCGACGTTCCCTTTTGCCGGCACAACACTATCATCGGCACCCTGCCATACAAACACACCACCGCGCGGGAACTTCTGTCCAGCCCTCAACCTTTCAAACGGAAAAAGCTGCTTCTTCTCGAGCGGGAACATCTTGGGGAACCCGCCGTGTTGAAGATTGGCGAACATGAGGAGACCTCTCTCGAGAGTCTGGTCGGTGGAGATGAGTGCAGGCGCCTCGCACCTGCGAATCTTTTCAAAATGATCGTCGACGATGCTCTGCGGCAGGGTTAGTCCGAATACCGGAACCTTCGGCCTCTCCATGAAGTGTGCGTTGGCTAGGTCGACGCAAGGGTAGGCGGCTGTCACAGCCCGGATGTCCTTGGCGTGAGACAAGCCCTTCATGATGCTCAAGTAGCCTCCCGCACTGTCACCAGCCGTGAGGATCCGATCCGTGTCGACGTCAACGTGGCCGCAAGTCTCCTCCTTGATAAAAGAGGCTAGTTCCTCATGAACCCAGGTTCAGTGATCCTCGGTATCTTCGAGTAGATCATCGATAGTGGACTCTGGCGCGAGGCGATAGTTCGGGCTCACAATCACAGCCGAGTGGCGGGCCGCGAGCTCCACATACCAGGGCCCGAAGAATCCGGGGTAGAGACTCGCGCCGCCGATGAAGCCGCCGCCATGGTAGCGTAGTATGATGGGGCATGGCGAGGTCGCCGCTACCGGGGCCTCTATCAGCTTCTTTGGGATGAGGACATCGGTGGTTATGGAGTGGTCCGACACTGTCTTGTAAGTTGTCGTCAAGATGGTAAAGTCTGAGAAACGAGACATGTCATCTGGATGCGGCAGGAGATCCATTTTGGCTTCTTGAAGGCGTGTCCGGAGAAAGTGGCTTTGTGAGAAGTGACGCTAGTTGTTTGAGAAGATGGAAAGGTCTAGCCACATAGAGATGTACCAATTCCGAGGTAATTCGGAGGAGAATGGATTTCTACAACACCTGTTGAGCTCAATATGGGTCTCTCGGTTGCTTTCTGTCCCCGAGAGACAGGTTGACCCGCTGGTACTTATTAAGAAATCTCCACACTAATATTCACTCTCAAACATCCTAACCCCGCGAATAGCATTGACTAATACTTAATAGCCTTCGGATGTCGAATATGAAATTTTAGAGCCCCGTGTACGGCAGACTGCAAGAGGCACTCCACCAAAACACCTTTTTCATTGTTACGGCCAGCTAGTCGTAGGGGTAGTTTGCAGAAGTTGAGGCTGCGGAACTGGTAACAGTAATCGTAGTCGTGGAATAGTTTCAAGGAAACTATGTCTGTCAATCGTAAGGGCAGGTAAGGCTTCGGTGATCAATCGTAGTCTTGTCAAGGTAGTAGCTGAAAGCGGATGTTAATCCTGATACGAAGTTAATTGCTGAAGAAGCTATGGGAAGTCTGTCCTAGAGCCCGGCTCGAGTCCATCCTATATACAAGTGTGGAGGCAATACTACTGTATTGGATCTGATGATGATGATGGGAAAAGCTGAGCGCTGGCTGGGCTGGATATCTGGGCAAGGTGTAGGTGGGGCAGCTCCGAGATGTGAAGGAGCTGCCTCACGTGACCCACCTGCACCTGCCACACCGCCCCTCAGGCCAGCCACAGTGAAAACTATCGTACATGTGAGAAGCAGGCTCAAATACCGACAATCCCAATTAGTCCTCCGCTGTATCCCATGCTCCGCCTATATCCTCCGTCCTGTGCCTGAGCCAAATAATCCTTTATCCCTTGTTTGTTCGGTCGGGTATAAGGATATCTATATGCTCATTTGCAAGCGATTTTCGTAAGGCCAAGCATTTTGACGAAGTTGGCGTGCTTCTCGTGATTTAACGGCTTCGTGAGTCCGTCAGCAGGCATGTCATGTGTTCGGATAAGTTTGAGGTTGAACAAGCCGTTTTTGACTTGATCGATGATCCACTTGTATCGTAGATCGATGTTCCTGGTTCGCGCCTGGTTTAGTGGATTCGTTACGTTGATCAGCGCGTTGCGGGAATCAGTAAATAGGACCGTAGGACGAGGTTGAGTGCAGCCGAGAAGTCTCAGCAGCTTATGAACCCATTGGACCGAAAGTCCCGTTGGAGTAAGGTTAATGAATTCAGCTTCCGTGGAGCTGGTTGTGACGTAAGTCTGTTTCTTCGACTTCCATATCACTGGGCCACCGGCAAGGATAACGACGTATCCTCCAGTGCTCACTCGGGTAAGGCGACAGTCGCCAAAGGCCGCGTCGCTGGCAGCATGGAGTCCGAGGTCATCAATAGGCATAGAAGCGTCAAAGGTGATGCCGAGGTCGACTGTGCCAGTGAGGTATCTCATGAGGTGCTTGATTGCTGCGAAGTGGTGCTCACCAGGGCGGCTGTTGGCTTCGCAGAGTTTGCTAGTTGCGTAAGTTATATCGGGGCGCGTACCGGTCGAGAGGAAATTAATAGAGCCTGTCATTTGCAAGTACAGCTTGCAACGGTCAGTTTCAACTGGTTCATACTCAACTGGCCACTTGGCGACGATATTGTGATCCATTGGTGTGCGGACTGGATGGAGGTCCACGTATCCGAACTTCTGAAGCATCCTGCGACAGAATTCGGCTTGTGATAGGTGGAGGGTCTTGGCTCTCTCATTGCGACAGACTTCGTAACCTAGGAATCTCTGAACGTCTCCCAGTTCTTTCATGCTGACAAATGACTTAAGGAGATCCTTGACTTTGCGAATAGTGTTCCGGTCTGGAGCAGCGATGACGTTGTCATCAACATACATCAAAACAATGCAGTTGTACTCGTCATGGATAAAAAGGCAGACTTCGCCTTCAATAGCTCGAAAACCGAGGTCAGTCATGTGACCTTTGATCTTGTTGAACCACCATACAGGTGCCATGGGGTGGCCGTAAAGGGCACGCTTGAGGAGGCAGACTTTGTCTCCTTGGCGATAGCCATGGGGCTGCTGGACGTACACCTTGGTATCGTCCGGGATAGAGGCGTGAAGAAAAGCTGTGTCGTAATCGAATAACTCTGCGATGTAGGTCTTGGTTGCAACAACAGCAAAGAAAACACGGATAGAGGTTGCATTAGCGACAGCTGCGTACAATTGTTCAGCGGACCAGTCAGATACCGCGTGGTTGCCACAGACAACCCATCGGGCACGATATCTGCCGTCAGACTTGATATCGCATATCCATTGGCCAGGAAGAATATTTTCTCCGGTTGGAGGGTCAACGAGTTCCCAGGCTTCGGCTTGCTGTAGCGCCTTGATTTGCTTATCAAAAGCAGGTTGCCACTTGTCCCACTCAGGACCCTCTTTGGCCTGCTTGAAAGTGCGAGGTACGGTTGGACCAGCGAGTGCGGCAGCGGCGATGGCAGATAATACTGGAGGCTGGTTGTCTTCCCACACAACTGTGTCAAGGCTGACATAGGCTTGTTGATAACCATCAGACTTGGCATACGTGTTGCCTCGGAGAGAGCAACCGCTGAAACCGCCCCTCTTCTTGACCCAAGTGCCCTGTGAGTTTCTGACATGCTCACGTGTTGAAGCTCTGTTTGGTTGGCTTGGAGGAGGGCGAGATTGACGAGTTCGTCTAGTTGGTTGTGTTGTAGGTTGAAGATCGTGATCTTCTGTGGCAACTACTATAGTTGCTTCATCTATATCCTGTTGGATAGCTTCTTCGATAGCGTTATCGAAAGATGTATCAGTATCGTGCTGTTGAACAGTCATGTTAGCAGACATCTGCTGATCAATAGGGCTGTCTGGTTCAGGGGTTGGAAGAGGGTTTTGGGTAGTTGCCTCTTCGGCAGACTTGTTGTCAGTGGTTTCGTCCTGGCGGTCAGGAGTGCTGGACGACTTCTGTGCTCCTTCATACTCAACAGATGAGGTGCTGGTGTCTGGATCAGCAAAAATGGCATCGTGATCAATGGTTGGGTCATTGTCTTCGTCCTGGTGCTTGCCCTGTTCATAGAAACGAACATCGCGGCAGCGGTATACCTTGTGGCTTTGAGGTACGTAGACGTAGAAGAGATGGCCGTGAAGTGAGTCGTATCCAACGAGATATCCCTTGATGGCTCTTGTCTCCATCTTGTTGGCGCGGGCTGGTTGCAATGACCCCTTGCGGTGGAGATAGGCAACGCAGCCGAAAGTGCGGATATGGTGGATATACGGTACGTGATGGGCTTCGTCAAGATTGAGATCTTTCGCGAGCATCTCGTGGGGGCTGAGATGGCCTGGATTGGTTGCTTTGGGCAACAGGTTGGCAATCGTGATGACTGTGGTGACGGCATAGTCCCAGAGATAATCAGGAAGGTTGGCGTCAATCAGCATGGTTCGGGCCGCCTCTGCAAAAGTCCGGCCAGCTCGCTCTGCCTTTCCATTCATGCTTGGGGTGTCAGCAACAGTCAATTTGACTTTAATGCCTCGTTTGGTGTACAGCTCCTGCGAAAGAGCATTGAAAAGCTCGGTGCCGTTGTCTATTTGAAACGCCTTAATCGAAAGGTTGGTCTGGTTTTCGAAGAAGTTGATGAATTCTTCGATACGATCAAGCACTTCGTCAGCACGCTTGCTCTTGAGCAAGTATCGCCACTGGAAGCCTGTACGCGCGTCGATCATGTGAATTAGATAACGTGACTTTGTATAGGACAAGGGTTCGAATTGTACCAAGTCCATGTGAATGAGATGACCGGGCTGGGCCTCTCGAATGGGGGTTTCTCTGCTGATGAGTTGTTGAGATTTGCCTAGGTGGCAAGCCTCGCAGTGAAAGGTGTCAATTTCTTGTTGAGGAAAAGTTATGCCCACACGACGGCAGGCTTCAACGACCCTGCTCTTGCCCGCGTGGCAAAGTCGCTTGTGCATAAGGTCAAATGTGACTTTGTTGTTATTCTTGCTTACCATAGCAAGGTTAAGGGCCGCGTTAATTTTCGGGCCTTCGTAGTTGTTGGTGACGATAACGGCAACATTGTTATGCCAATCGAGTTTGGCGATCGCGACGTTGTTTCCAATGTGGATAGTGTCGTCGCTGACCTTGTAGCCCTGCCGACGGAGTGTGCCTTGACTCAGCAGGTTGACTGGGCAGTCAGGGCAGTACTGTACATCCTCAATTGACCAGTCGACCACCTTGTTGCTGTCATCTGGATCAACGGCAGTGAAGTAAACCGTGCCGTAACCAGCTGGCGATGCGTACTGACCGTTGGCGACTTCCATGGGTGGCAGTATTGCCTCGGTGAAGGAGGTGAACCAACTGAGGTTGTTGAAAGTGGTTCGCGAGCACCCGGAATCCAGGATAATGTCGTCACGGTTAATTCTGCCCGTTGCCATCGAAGTTGAGCACGGCAAGACTGTATGTCCCATTGTGTTCTGGTGGAGAACGTTCGGCGTAGCCTTGACCGCGACTGCCTTACCCTCCCGGCATTCGGAGGTACAAGTATGAGCAGCAGCTTTCTTGAGCAGGTTCTCACGGTACTTATGGTTGGATGGGATGAGGTCGGGATGGGCGACCCAGCAAGAGGTAGTCGCATGTTTCTTGCCGCAGTGTTGGCAGTCAGGACCATTGTAGTTGTTGTTAGGTCGCTGATTGTTGTTTGAGGTGTTACCGGAGGCCTTGTTGTTGCCGTTGCTGTTGTTTCCAACGGCGACGTAGCCCTTCGCGGCATTGAGTGAAGCAGTCCTTTCGGCATTGGCCTTGAATGTGAGATCGCGTGTGAGATCTTCAAGAGTCTTGGTGTTGTCCTCGACGTACTTGTCGTAAAGTGCTGGATATTCTTGTTGGCATCCGTTGAGTAGGATGAACATGGCTTTCTTGTGCCAAGAGGGGACCAGCTCATCGATACGACGAATGAGATACT